TCGTGCTCTTTTGCCTTAGTCTTCCTCTTTTCTTCTGCTTCATTATTCTCTGTATGTTTGTGCTCTATATCGCTGATTCTCTGTTCTGCCTAATCCATCCTTGCCACCGCTGCATCTGTTTGAGATTGCAGCTCAGTTTTAGCATTTTTTAATTTCATTGACTAGATTTTACTTCTTTTATCTCTGCAGAAAGGGATTCTTATCTATTTTCAACACCAGCTCGTATTCTTATTATGGTGATTCTTAATTCTGGTTCAGACATCTTGCCTGTATCTGTGTTGGTTAAGACCCTGACTGTTGTTTCTTTCTGCTCTTTCTTCTGGGGTTAATTCCTCTGTTTCGTCATTTTCGTGGGAAAAAAGGCATTAATGAGGTAGAAAAATTAAAATTAAAAAAAATTAAAATTAAAAAAATATTAAAATTAAAAAATTACAAACAATCACACACACACAAAATGGAATAAATGATGCTAGATCCTAGGTGTGTTTTGGTCTGGGTGTTGAAAGTGCTTGATAGATTAGAGAAAAGGGAAAAAAAGAAAAAAAAAGGAAATCGTTTGAAAATTTTAATTAATGAATACACTGACGTAGACTAAAATGAAATGACGGTAGTAAAATAGAGTTTGGAAAAAATTACAAGGGGCGCCTGGGTGGCGCAGTCGGTTAAGCGTCCGACTTCAGCCAGGTCACGATCTCGCGGTCCGTGAGTTTGAGCCCCGCGTCAGGCTCTGGGCTGATGGCTCGGAGCCTGGAGCCTGTTTCCGATTCTGTGTCTCCCTCTCTCTCTGCCCCTCCCCCGTTCATGCTCTGTCTCTCTCTGTCCCAAAAATAAATAAACGTTGAAAAAAAAAATTAAAAAAAAAATTACAAAAAAGTAAAAAATATAGTAGAAAAAATTTAAAGAAAAAGTATTTTTAATAAAAAATGATAATAAAAATGATTTTTTTCTCTTTCTGTATTCAATAAAAAGAAAAAAAAGAAAATCGGATAGGTGGACTGGCTAATGAAATACGACTGAAATTACATCGTTTTCCCCTAGAAGTCAAAGTATGAAGCACTTGACAGGCCATAAACTAAGTAGGTGGTGAGACTTGTTTTCTTGAAGAGTGAGGGTGGCCCAGTTGGGCGGAGCTTAGTGTCACAGCTCTGCTAGTTTGCATTCTCCATCCTCCACTAGATGGCGCTGCTAGCCTACTGGAGTGGATTGTTGTGGCGCTTGTAGGTGCATATTTGCATATGTGGGAGTGATGAAAATGGCGACACCCAGCTACCCAGTCTCTAGTATCGGAACTCTGTTCTCCTTGATCAGCAATCGCGCACCCATCCTTCATCTTCGGTTTCCATCCACTCCCCCCTTTCACACTGTCCATGACCAAGCCCCAGGCAGCACCTCCTTTCCGAGTTTTGTCTCAGATGCAGCTGCCTTCCCCAGCCCCCCCTTCTGAGGGACTGTGGCTTTGTCTCTATCCCTCTGTGAAGGGTCTTATTGAACAATGGCTGGGTGCTGGCAGCATGTAGGAACACTTGCTGGACCCTGCTGCTGCCGGTGCCCCGAGAATGTGGCCAGGTGCCAGCCTGCCCCAGAAAAAGTTCGTGAGATAGTGTAGCAGCAGCATTTCAGGGATTTTGGAAAATCACAACAGACATCTGGCACCAGTCTTCACCCCAAATGATCTTGTTCTAGCGCCAGAGAATGGGGCCATTCTCTGGGGTCTTCTGGGACCAGGTGGCCTCACAGCCTCCAGCAAATGTCCTTCCAGCAGTGGAACTGTTCTCCCCGTGTGGCCTGAGAACCTTCTGGACCCAACTCTGCTCCTGGGGATTCACCCTTCCCACCAGAGCATTGATAGTATCGAGCTGTGGAGTTTCAGACTCTGCACTCCTCCTGTTTACAGTCTTAATGGAATTTAAACCCTCTCCTTTCTCCTTTCTCCCTTTTTAGTTCAGTCCCTGTGGCTGTTTCCAATTTTCCACTTTCTCTTCAGCTGCTTTTGGGGAGCGGTGCTTTTCACATATTCTTCCCCCCCGCCCACCGTCTCCATCCTCTCTCTGCATGAAAAGCAGCTCCCTGCCCTCTGCGGTTTCTGTCTCCCCACGTTCACCTCTCCATGCCACATACCTGCTGAATTCTGTCATTCAAGTTGTGTAGATTGTTGTGTTAATCCTCAGATCAGATTTAGTGTTGGTCTGGCTGTATTTCATGGACGCAAGACACACAGAAAACTTCCATGCTGTCTGCCATCTTGGCTCCTTGCTTTCCTAGTATTTCTATATCTTTTTTATTTCCTTAATGTTTTCTGTAAATTAGAGTTCACATATAATTTAATTTATACTAGGCATTTGTAGTTGGAATATTATGCTTCCTTTATAAAATACATTTTAAGATATTCTGAGATATATAAAAAGATAAATTAATGAGGCCAGTTTGGCCTCATTTGTCTCAAAAGAGATGCATTTTTAAAATTTATTTATTTTGAGAGACAGTGTGTAAGCAGGGGAGCAGTAGAGACGGAGAGGAGAGAATCCCAAGCAGACTGTATGTTCTCAGCACAGAGCCCAACATGGAGCTCTATACCACCAACAGTGAGATCATGACCTGAGCAGAAATCAAAAATCTAATGCTTAACTGACTGAGCCGCCCAGATGCTTCTCTAAAGAGATGTATTAATACCCTTAAAGTTCTTATAAGGTCTATGAAATATCCAAGTATCTATATACACATTACCTGGGTCTTCAGTGAACACAAGACAAATGCTCACAGATAGGAAAATATCACTTTGGAAAGTACTTGGAAGTTCTCCTGATTATCATGTTGATTTCCCCTTTATTGACAAATGCAATGATTGCGATCAGTAGTTCCTAAAAAGTGTGCAAATTATCATTCAGGATGCATGTTCCAACATTTTGTTCAGCAAATTCCTATTGTGTCTTTATTCTGTGTCTTGGCTTTATATTTGTGTATTGTTTATAGATATGTGAGAGCTTATATTTATAAACTAGAAAGGACTTAGATAGCTTCTATTTTTTGACAGATCAGGACATATATAATATAACTATTTATTTATAAATTTCATTTTTCCTTTTTTGTTTCCTAGGCTTCCTATTTTTTCTTCTTTATAACTTGAAGTTGTTTTGAGAACTAAGAAATATAAGAATATCTTTCTCTAGTCGATTTATTTACATAAAACAGTGGTTGTTATTTTTCAACCTCAATACTAATACCTTCCTGTTTCTACCTGGGTTCTACAAGTGATATAAATTAAATTATTGGACATTGAAGAGGGAAAAACATGAGCCAACAAGTTTTATCAGAAATATGGTGTGACTTCGGACAGCTGGAGATAAAGAATAGGAAACAAAAAACTTAAAATGACTTTTGCTTTATGATAAATAAAAAGTATTGGGAGATAAAATGAAGACAGGTTTGAAATATATCATTGAGGGTCTTTCATTGTGGGTATCAGTGACTTCTTATGTCTTGTACATTTTGGTGTTCATCCACCCATTGCCTTTTCTTGCAAATTATCAACTCAGTCTTGAATGAAAACATTTATCTACCTAAAAGGCTAGTTGATTTACTTTTCTGTTTTCATGGTATTCACATACCCAGTATTTAATTAGTTTTTAATTTGAAGTTTTGTTAATGTGCAGGAGACATCTTGGAACAGCTTCTCTGAATTTCTAGGATCTTGTGGTAAATAAAGTAGTAGCAGATGTCACAGAGTTGCCAAAGTTATGTGGCCAGGTTACTGGTAAATTGGGTTTGGAGGTACCTGGGGTTAGAGACACATGTGTACTAGGGAGAGAGGGGATGCCTTATGTGCTAAAATGAACATGTAAGAGCAGAAGGTTTATGACTCCTTGAATAGATAGACTGCAAACAAAATCAATGCTGTTGTTGTGGGATTGGAGTAAGAGAATAGTTTTCTTTGGCTTCACCAAGCAGAGGTTTGATTACCAAATCAAGTTAGCTATGCCTGAAATATCAATTAAAAAAACAATTCTCCTTATTTGTCACCATTGCAATGTAAACCATTTCTCAGGAGTCCACTATCTCATATTCTTCTGTGATTTTGGAAATCTCTCACTCGCCAGAGGCTCTCTCAAAATTAAGTTACTTTTCTTTCGACTCTGTCTTCAATACCAAGGTTATTACACCATTTCCTAATGTGACATATGCAAAGAATATGGAGATTCAAGGAACCGTATTATTGAGTGCTGTGGTTTTACAGAGTCAGTGTATCTATTACTTTCTTTCCCCCCAAATTCTGAACTAACTGAAGATTATATACAAAATTCAAATAAACGACAGTCAAAACATAACCATTATTTCTAAAGAAGGTTTTGGGAGAAAGTGTATTTAGGTACTGAGTTAGATTGACTCATCTGTCGTGACTGGCCCTGCTAACCAGCCACGCAGTTCCTCCCTATGGAACTTGCTGCCTGAAAAAGCAAGCAGAGTAAAACGCAACAAGCCACAAAATTTTCTTGGGAGGGTCATTGTGTACAGGCAGCGGATGCAAATAGAAAAAATAGAATGGCCCAAGGCTACTTTCCCTTCCTCAAAACACCAATCTGCAAAGTCATCTTTTCATCACTGAAGACAGTGACAGAGGAGACACTCCTCCAGACTGTGTCAGGCTGATTCTGGTCCCTCTGAATAGAAATGGAGTGGGAAATTTAGGTTTCTATATAACACTCACATTTCTTTCCAAGTTCATAGCTACAAGCATTTCTGTTGCTGTTTTTTTTGGGTTTTGTTTTTGTTTTTTTTTTTTTTTTTTTTTGTTTTTTTACCAAAAGTACTCTCACAT